CGTCCAAGCAGCGTGTGATAACCACTGCGGAAAGGGATGATATCGAAGATCAAGTCTTCGCTTCGGAAGTTGTCCGGAGAATCGAAGACTACTTCCAATGTTAGGGAGCCCGTACAATGGGCCTCCACGCCGGGTATCACTCCTTTAAAGGTAGTATTGCTAGGCTTGATTCTTGATGGGTCAATACCCATCTTATGGACATCGTCTTGATAGATCAGGTTCAGACCGTTGCCGCCGTCCATAAGGACTCTAGTGAGATGGTATCCATCGATGATGGGATTGAGTATCAGGGCCGCCGAACCTCCATGGCGGATACTAGTTGGGTGGTCTCTGCGATCAAAGGTGATCGGACAAGCTGGCCATGGGTTGAATATTGGGGCGACAGACTCTACGGCGTAGACGTCCCTTAGTGCGCGCTTGCGCTTCCTCTTTGGGATATGTGTGACATATACCATGTTCACTGTTTTCACCTCGGGGGGAAACTTCTTCTGTCCCCCTGTGATCGAAGGGCGGGCTCATCCTCGTCCTCGCTTTGAGGCCCTTTCCCCTTGTGTTTAGTATTTAATTTACCGGCCTGTTTAAAAACCCAGCAGTTTTTGTTGGTGTGGTTGGCAGGCTTGTCAGGGGTGCCATGAATCTCGCAAGGCCTATCTAGTATTTTGTCAAAGTTGGACGGACCATCTCTATTTCCTTTGAATGGCTTCTTCCGCTGACCGGGTTTGGAGCCACTGAATCCGACGTTTACCATTGTATCCTCAGTTTCTTAATTGTTGTTTCGACGCTTGTTTTTGTTACATCGTGGCCTTCCAGCGCCATCCCTGGCCTCAGAGGTGATGGGGTCACGGGTGTTGTTGCTTCTATGACCCAACCAGCTATCTTCACCTGCGCAGAAGCAGGTCATAAGTGAAGTAAGAGCTACCATAGTGTTTGGCTTTTCCCGACCGAGGTGTCGGGCAAGCCATTCGTCACAGACACTGTGCTTAAAGGCCGCTAAGGCTTCGACACCTGGACAGTCGACGATTTGGTTCTTTTTAATTAAGAACCGAGTCCAGAGTTTGCGGGTTGACTCTCCGGGTTGTTGGACTATGTGACTAAGGTCATCAGCGTCCGGTGGCCGGACATAAGTGCCTTGGAAGTTGTCTCGAAAGGCATCCTCCAAGTCCTCCCAACTGCTAATGGAGTTCTCCTGGAAGCTATTCAACCAGTGTCGTGCTGGTCCTTTTAACTTTAGGGGGAGGTATTTGATGGCATGGAGATCATCACCGCAAGCCATGTGAATGTGGAGAACAAAATCTTCAATCCATACAGCGGGATCTGTTGTTCCATCGTATGCATCGATGTTTACGGGTTTAAACCCTTCCGAAAACTCGTGCTACATTACCTCATCGGTAAAGCACATGGGGTGTATGGCGCTTCTATATCGGGCAACATCACGATAGAGTTCGGATGACATCCGTGTTTGGTTCTCGGCCCGAACTTGGTTATGCTTGTCGTGCTGGGCTTGATGGCCGTCGTCTCGTGTTGTAGCACGTCCCCTTGATCAGTAGATTGATCTGGTCTGGCCGGCTCTATTGTCCAGGTCCTAACATAATTCGTACGTGTAGCCCGGAGGCGCTGCCTCTTTGCCTCTACGGCGAGGTTACGCGGGCTGGTATTTAGCATAATTGGCCGCTTTGTCCCGTCCACGTGGTGGTCGGTCTAGTTGATCGGGATGATTGTATCTTGACGGTATTGTCTCAAGGACCTCGTCGTTGAATTGTGGCAGTAGCCTGCGCTTTGGGTAGCTCTTTGTTGGGCGCTCGAGGCCATATTCCTCGGCAGCCAGGACCTTGGTCCATCTGTCGTTGAGCATACCTTGTTCGGCTTGAAGCTATTGCTAGTGTTGTTTCTTTTTAAGGCTCCTCATAGTGGTGATGAGTTGTCGCTTGAAGCGTTCTTGTTCGAGGGGTTCCTCTGGTACGATGAAATCTTCGTTACCGAGGCTAACATCCTCCTCGGAGGCCGGCAGATAGTTACTATCTTCCGAATCCTCATGGTCAACAAGTTTGTCTGGGTTGACTTGTCCTTCTTCCCACTCATCCTGCTCAAACGCAGGCTCGACGGGGTGGTCGGAGTCTTCGACACTGTCCGGAGTGTCATTGTCTCCGGTGCCGGTATTGCTTTCCTTTTCTCGATGCGATCCTGAGCGGCACCGCTGACGTCAGCGTTTTGGTGGTGCCTCAACGGGCTTGTCCTCAATCAGATCTTGATTGTCATCGCCATATTTCTTCTCGAGTGTATCCACCATGTACACGTCGTAAGTAGAAGTGGTCGTCCAACGCCCAGTGATAGGCGGGTTTTGGCCTGTTTCGGCTCCGGCATCATCGTCCATACCATCCATGTCTTCGGAGGCATAGTCTAGCATGTCGGTTAGGTCCTCGACAGTGGCTATTAAGTGGGTGGTGGGTGAGACAAAAAATTCCCTGCTCTCAGCCCCCAGTTCAGGTTGGGCGTAGTTCGGAAGTGACACCTCCGTGATGGCGAGAGATCGCATTAGGTCCAGAGCCTCGTTTAGGAGCGAGAGCTCGGCAGGTGGATGAGGACCTGCGGAGCTGGTTCTAGTAATCACCACTTGACCATGCTCGGTGGACGCAGATTTCGAGAGTTCGGAGTTGACATCCCGAGATAAGTCCGGCTTCCCAATGACAGGGAGAGTCCTGTTTGACTCGAGGCCTGCTGACAATATGGTCACCTCAGGGTCTCCGGCTGGGAGCTCCGTAATAGGAGAGAGTCTGGCGGGGCTTCGTCTTCGAACAAAGTAGTCTGCTCTGGATCTAAGGCCATGGCAGGCATGAGAGTTGGTCCTTGAATGGAGTCTGATGGTGGATCCGATGGGCTTCCTTCATGTAGATGAGGAGCGGCGGCCGAGGCCGCGAATCCTTCGAAGATCAAGTCTCCTCGAATATCAGCGATGTAATTCAAGCTTCCAAACCTGATCTGGTGACCAGGGGCGCAGCTGTCGATCTGCTCAAGGTGACCAGTTGAATTGGCACGCAGAGTGAAGCTGCCAAACACAAAGAGTTGACCAGGGAGGAAAGTCTCCCCGGAAACAGCATAGTCGCCGATGACAAGCTGAGCCATCGATCCTTCCGTCGACAGCACAGTGGAACTCTCAATGAAAGCACCAATGTCGGTGTCAAAACCGGCTGATCTCGGGTAGGGGGTCCCGAACTATGCGTGTGAGGATCGAGGGTAACAAGGGACAAGTGGGACACAATGTTTACCCAGGTTCAGGCCCTCTTAATGGAGGTAAAACCCTACGTCCTGCTTGATTGTATTTGATGAGTATAGGAGTTACAAGAGTTGATCTACCTCAAGATCGTAATGGCTAAACCCTAGCTGTCTAGCCTATAAGAATTCTGATAGCCTTTACGGACTAAACCGTCTGGTTTATATACACATCGGAGGGATTTAGGGTTGTACAGAGTCGGTTTGTAGGGGAAGGTAATAACATATCCGGACACCAAACTTGCCTTCCACGCATATAGGAGTCCTACCCGGTCACGGGGGGAAGTCTTCTGATTTCATCTTCACGGCCCATCAATTCGGCCCATGTCAAATAGTCCAAACACTCGAGGACCCCCTAATCCAGGACTCCCTCACTAGGCCTGAGCCCGGCATGGCCCGGCCATCGGGCCTGGTTTTTGGGCCCAAGCCCAGCCCGAAAGTGATAAAGCCCGCCGGGCCTCGGGCCGTGGGCCGAGCCCCTTCAATAAATCACGAAAATGGAGGGCCCGGGCCCGGCCTGGCCTTTGGGCTCAAAATCTAGGCCCGGGCCCGGGTGCAACATCGGGTCGGCCGGGCTGCCCATGGCCACGAGTAGTTCCAAGATTTGCCAAAATAACGCCCAAACAAAGGAGATCAGGGGGGAGGGGGCTTGAAGAGGAGGAGAGAGGCGCATCCTCTCTGTTCGGGGTGAATAGGATATGACTTGCTCGAGAGAATGGGTGGGTGGTTGGCCCATCCGCCGCACCGTTGGCCACTTACCTCTTCACGCCTATCGCCATCGAGCCTGGCAGTAGGCTATAACAGGCTACCACCACGGTCCTTGTAGGTAGCCAACTATTCATGTAAGTCGGTGCCATGACGGCGCATACACATTGACTTGTTTCCTATCGCCAGTGACGATGATGATACATAGTGGTACCCTACCGCCAAGGACGATGACGATAGCAAAAAATGTTCGATCTGTTTTTTTTTTAATTGATCAAATCGTGCTAAACTTTCAACAAAGGTGAGAAGTGTGATTTTAGCCGCTATCGACATGTGTGTGAAATTAAAGGACGGTGCAGGATGATGAATGGACCTGGCGAGGCATTGATCAAGTGATGTTTGTCTGTTTGCGCTCGGTGGTAGCCGCGAAACGGACGTTGCAACGCCTGCCCTGGCGTCATGTGCTCGATCACCGGGGATCACTTGTGGCCTGCTTACATTGCGTACTTGCGCTGAGCCGCGCAGATGGATCTGCTCGACAGCTCAATCATACTAACATTCTAGAGTTTGGCGCAAACTGTAAATCACGAGGGTGAAATAATACGAGTAGATCGTTCGTGAAATTACAGCTCGTTTGAACCGCGCCGGGGGAGGAGTGATTTCTGTACACATTCCTGTGAAATTCCAACTGTTTTCGCGGCAGAAAAGGTAGAACTCGAGTGTATTGGATGTGAATCATAGTATCACTTCGTGCATTGCTTGCGGCCAACACCTGCAGATCATTCGTGACGCCACAACACCGAACACGCCAAAGCGGGAGGTGCGTTTCACCAGGACAAGCGCACGTCAGCTCCAAGGTTACAAACAAACCTCACCTAGAAACCCGTCCAGATTCATTGAATCAAGCCTGCATAAAGACCCTTTTTAACCCCCTCGTCACCCGCATACTCAAGGCCACAACGCACTCGATCGGCAGTCGCCACCGTACACGTGAGATCGAGAACTTGATCATCGACCGCGACATCGCCATGGGCGGCCTCTCCATGGACCAGGCCTTCGTGCAGGCGCCCGAGCATCGCACCAAGGCGAACCTCGCCGACGCGGACGGCATCCCGGTCATCGACCTCTCCCCTCTCGCGGCCGGCGACAAGGCCGGCGTGGACGCCCTCGCCGCCGAGGTGGGCAGGGCGAGCCAGGACTGGGGGTTCTTCGTGGTGGTGCGCCACGGCGTGCTGGCGGAGACGGTGGCGCGGGCGCTGGAGGCGCAGAGGGCCTTCTTCGCGCTGCCGGCGGACCGGAAGGCGGCCGTGCGGAGGGACGAGGCGGCACCGCTGGGGTACTACGAGTCGGAGCACACCAAGAACGTCAGGGACTGGAAGGAGGTGTTCGACCTCGTCCCCCGCGAGCCGCCGCCGCCTGCCGCGGTTGCCGACGGCGAGCTCGTGTTCGAGAACAAGTGGCCCGAGGACCTCCCGCGGTTCAGGTACGGTCATCGACTCAATCGATTCTGCAACCACGAGAGAAATGGTTCATATGATTCAGAATTTCGGATGTTAATCTCGATGCAAATTGATGTGTGCATGCAGAGAGGCGCTCGAGGAGTACGCGGAAGCGATGGAGGAGCTGGCGTTCAAGCTGCTGGAGCTGATCGCCCGGAGCCTGGGCCTGCGACCGGACCGCCTGCGCTGCTTCTTCAAGGACCAGACCACCTTCATCCGGCTGAACCACTATCCGCCCTGCCCGAGCCCCGACCTCGCCCTCGGCGTCGGCCGCCACAAGGACGCCGGCGCGCTCACCATCCTCTACCAGGACGACGTCGGCGGGCTGGACGTCCGGCGCCGGTCCGACGGCGAGTGGGTGCGCGTCAGGCCCGTCCCGGACTCGTACGTCATCAACGTCGGCGACATCATCCAGGTGTGGAGCAACGACAGGTACGAGAGCGCGGAGCACAGGGTGTCGGTGAACTCGCAGAAGGAGAGGTTCTCCATGCCCTACTTCTTCAACCCCGGGAGCGACGCCATGGTCGAGCCGCTGGAGGAGATGGTGAGCGACGAGAGGCCGGCCAGGTACGACGCCTACAACTGGGGCAACTTCTTCAGCACCAGGAAGAACAGCAACTTCAGGAAGCTCGACGTCGAAAACGTCCAGATCGCACACTTCAGAAAGGACCGATCTTGAATGAAGGATCCATCGTGAATTCATGATCCTACCGCTCTCCTCGGTGATCCTAATGCTACAAGCATCTCCCCGTTTGTAGTAATATAAATAAGTAATTGTGTCGGTTCAAAAAATAAATAAGTAATTGTCCGTATTAATAATCACTCTCTCCGTCCCATAATATAAAAGCGTTTTTGACACTAGTATAATACCAAAAACGCTCTTATATTATGGGACAGAGGAAGTACTTCCCCTGTTTCAAAATAAGTGATGATGTGGTTTTAATTCAAATTTGAACGGAGGCAACTAAAAAGGATATTTTAGGACCGAGGGAGTACTGGATATATATGTGTGTGTATTTCAATGTGATTTGGCGCATTTGAGCAGATCATTATTACTGCATTTGTAAGTGTTAATATCACCGTGATTCACGGGCACAAATTGACAGTTGCATCTCTACCTAGAAATGCAAAATGCTAAACTTGACGATAAAAACCCATCAAAAAATTACTACTCCAAAAAAATGTCCATTCTCAAAAGTTAGACCACTTCAAGCCCTTGCTCTAAATTTGATAAGCTACTCTTCAAATTTAAGCAGGAGGCAGGCGTTCCCTGCTCTCTCCGACCACTGTCTCGATGCATGTGCATCCCTGCCAAGCTCCGGCGAGATTCCGGTGACATTCTTTCCTCCACTTTCTCGTCTTTCCAGACGTCCCAAACACTATTTTGGAATTTCAAAAAATCACCAAGCAAAAAAGTACTCATAAAAATCTGAGGACGGTGGTTGTTCTACACCCCAGCTGGATGCACACATACTACAACCACGCAAGAAAACATAGCAAAATATTTTAAAAAAATCTAAAATTTTGTGGGAATGATTATGAGCATGTTATAGATGCTTGCAAAGTTTGATGGTCAAATGACATCCGAGGATGTCATTTGACCACCTAATTTTGAAACCATCTATAAAATTTGTTGATAATTATTGCCACAAAAATTCAGATTTTTTTGAAATGTTTTGGTATGTTGTCTTGTGTGGGTGTAGCGTGGGTGCACCGAGCTGGGTTCAGCCACTACTTTCTCAAATCTGAGAAAAAGCTTTGTTAGGGATGTCAATGAGTAAGGTATGAATCGGTACAACCCTTTTTTGTCTAAAACCATCGTGCTTGATGGGCATTTGAGCAGAACACTACTACTGCATTTGTTACTAAATATCAGTATGCTTCACAGGCACAAGTGACAGTTGCCGTCTCTACCTAGAAATACAAAAATGCCAAACTTGAGGATGAAAACCCATAACTTCTCCAAATTTGATGATTTGAGGCGTTACAGCATCTCTAACCAATCCACAGTAAAATTTAAACGAGTAGAAACTCGGTTTACTCCTCTAAAGCGCACCTAGCCGATCTCTTATCTCCTTTAGAGGAGCAAAGAATTTACTCCACGCAGCGCTCGACTCTTAAATATGCTTGGCCGCCCAAGCTAAAGTAAAAAAATTCACATCTCCCACTGCTCCACCTTATTCACTCTGTTGCGGCCCAAGCACCCGCATCCCCCAGCTGGCACACCCCCCATCCACTCTAGTGCCGCCCTTGCCACCCAAAATGGCCGGATCCAGCCGCGCCGATTAGAAGCACAGATCCACACCACCATGCGCAGTCCCAAGCTCGTGGCAACAACAATGCTTCCTCCTCCCGTGGTGGCGCTTCCCGCTTCTCCGATCTCTCACTGCTGCCAACAGCACAAACGATATACCTAGGCGTGCAACAACTGGCATGGGAGACATGGGTGACGGAGATCACCGACTGCGAGACCCACGACAAGATTTGGATTGGCTCATTCCATTCAGCGGTGCAGGCGGCGCGGGAGTACGACATTATGCCCATGCACCTCTACGACGCAGAGGCGCGGAGGAACTTTCCCGGCAGACTGCTGTAGTTGGAGCCCGTCGAACCCTGAGTGGCCACCTCAAGCGAGATTCGGGAACACAAGGAGCCATGTGAGCACCTCGAGGCGGAGCAAGCCGACGAGACATACATGGCGGACCTCTACCACTTGTACCTAGAGCGCGTCAGGGGGGAGCGTTGACGGTATGAGCTCTACAAGGCGGGGCAGCGATAGTAACCGATCTTTTCTCCAGCGACGACTTTGGTTCGGCAGCGACGACGATGGTGAGGGCGGTAACCCAGACCCCATGACCGAATCGGACTGGGGAGGATGTTGAACGAGACCGACATCAAATAGTTAGTTTTAGTTTAAATTTTATTTAATATGTTATGTAAAATAGTTTATGCAAGTGGTTGAATCGAATCAAGTTTGATGTAGTAGTTTGAATCAAATTTGCACCGAATTCGTGTTCATTTTTTCAAGGGAGTAAAGTTTAGGGTTTGGTTAGAAACCACACTTTTTTAGTGGAGCAAATATACTCCCCTAAAGGATACTTGACCATTTTCTCCCCTATACTTTAGGGGATCGTTAGAGATGCTCTTAGATCACTTGAAGCCCTTTGAGAAGTTACTCTTCAAATTTAAACAGGAAGGAATCCTCCTAAAATTATCTCTCATTGGGCAACCCTCTCTCTCTCCGCCATAGATGCCATGGTCGCGCTCCTCCCCGCTCTCAACGGCCACTGTCCCTACGCATGTGCATTCTTGTCGACCTCCGGCAAGATTCTAGTGAGATTTTCTTTTCCTCGTCTTCCCAATCACCCCAGCCAATGCCGCCCCTCCATGTAATCCTACGCCACGGTCACGCTCCTCCCCGTCATCCATGGACAATGGCAGAGCAACACCCACAGAGCATCAGTTTTTGTATGAAAACATGGTTGCTAGACCTTGTCGCTGATTCTCACGAGCCGTTGCATCCCGTACCATGTCATCATGCCAACAAAAGAGTTAAGAGGATAATAACTCATTTAAACAAATAATCTCCCAAACTGTGGCCTATGTAGGACAAATTTCATTGACTTTCTGTTAGGAAATAGTTACTTTTCGGTTAGCCATAATCCAGATTAGCATCATCACAAGATTACCAACATAGAAAATCGCATACGACAGGTTAGGATCATCTAGCATTTAAGCATATGGACTAAAGGCACATGCCAACAAAGATAGGTCCAGAAAATACAATTCACCGGAAACTCCGGTACTACAACAGGCCATCGTGGTGAAGACAATATGGTCTTTCCATGTAGAGGAAGCAGGCAGGCAGACATCGATGATGTAGTCAATCTTTCACGAGTCATCGCGCCAAGACGCTCCCCAGAAACCGTATCACCCCTCACCCGATGTAGGTTCTCAAGGGACGCGGTTTTGGAGGCCTGCTCTCCTTGATGGCTATGCACGCAACCACCGGGACTAGGAACTCAACTATAGTGTGTGTGTTCAGTGTACTGCTATGAATTCTACGTGTAACCTCTCTTCTCTGGATCTCCTATACATAAAGGCGGACACATGGTATAGTGAAGAGATCTAATTGACACATGATGGAAGAACTCTTTGCAAGTTGAAAATGTGTCCACAATGAGCTCGAGTATTAGCACGTACACCCAAAACAAAGCAATGCACTACCATGCAAAATTTTAGTTATTCCAATGAGGCACATAACATTAGCCCGAACTCAAACTTGATTCGTGAACGCGACGTGCGTGCATTGCGTGGTTTGACATGAAGTGGGTGAGCGCACACACTGTTGTTCGTTTTGCTCATCATGCTACAAGAAGTAGTAGAACAAGGCACCTTTTATATTGTTGCCGCTCTTCCTCAACTAACAAAATGGTAGTAAACTTACACACTTGCCATGCAACTCAAATGGCTTTGAGATTTCAAGCTTTTAACTGGGCTAAGGTATAAGATAGAGTGGGTCCAGACCCATAAAATTTAATAAGACCCCATCTGATTTCGTAGGCACATTGGATTTCATCTGTTCCAAATTCTATGTTTGATACACCTGGTGTTCAATGGAGACCGATTATGGTTGAGCCCCACCTAGCAGACAAGCATCTAACTTATCCACAATTGAACAATGGAAGACTTGCAACCGCATGTGTTGCAACCTAACAATAACTGCATGACCCCCAACAGGCCTGCAACTAGGGCCGGTAGCTTCTTTTTTGTCGGCTAGTTGCATGTCCATTAATAGAGATTGCAATTGCAAATGTTGCGACCCGCTTGTAAGTCTGTAACTGCACAGACCACCAACACGGCCTCATGTGTTACAACCAAGAGTGCAACTGCAATGGCCCCCAATGTGACTGCCGGGACTAGCAACTCAACTAATGGTGATGGATTTTTTTCACTTTATTAAAAAGGACACAAACTCTTTCCAAAAATCAGTGAAATTTTTTAAAAGCTTGTGACGTTTACAAATTTGTGAACTTTTTAAGAAGTTCACGGATATTTTTTGAATTGGCTACAATTTTTAGAATTTGAAGAATATTTTTTAAACTCATGAATATATTTTTTGAATTCGTAAACATTTTTTAAAATAGCGCAGACCGACCAATCCACGTAAAGGCACGGAAGGAAACAATTTTCCTGTCCTGTAGCGCACAATACCTTTTTGTGTGAATACATTATGTACTCATGGGCTGTTTTGTATATCCCACACACATAAGCCCATGGGTTTTACTATTTTCTTGAGGAAGATAGAGAGCCCTTTATTTCATTTCCAGAAACATTAACATTCTTTCTCTTTTACATTCTTGATACCGAATGGCACATTGTTACTTTGTTAGCCAGACAAAAAATCATCATAACAGTGTGCATAATCGTCAAGCTCATGTCCAACCATGTTGCCCTCTCTGTTGATCTTGGTCACGTTGAACAAATCCAAGTTTTCAACACGCCAAGAGCATTTTCCTAAGTGGCCCACCACCTTACTATCTGTTTTTAGCATTTAATGCCTTGTCAATTCTTGATGCAGTCAGTTTGTAATAGTAAGACATATATTAAAAAATGTTGACCATGTATAGAAAAAAAGTTAAATGTATACAGAAAAAATGTTGACCATGTATTCAAAGA